CAAGGAAGAGAACGGCATGGGTAAGGACCTATGTGACTACTGTATCAGAGCTGTAAATTACACTCTACACTATCTGAGATTGTCTCACTAGTTTTTATTTTGCTTTCTGTTAATCGTTCAGGATGCTGCTGACAATGACTTAAGTGAAGAAGGAGATGAGTTAGATTTTGATAATGATGATGACAATGATGATGAAGTGGATGAGCTTACCCTTAGTTTTAATGATGTTGAGGTATACTGTATATTCGTCTGAGGTTTGACATTGCTACATGTACACGTATAACATTTTCCAATGTACTGCTGTTGTTTGAATGCTGTATTATGTTTGAATGCATGTTTATTTTTTTGTAATCCTTGTACTGAATCACATTAGCAAAAGCATGTGCAGAAATTGTGTTTAGCTTCCTTAAATTGTTAGGCTGCTGTGCCTTTTTAATTTATAAAGGTCATCTATATGTACAGATCTTTATCCCTCCCTCCCACTCACCCATAAACTTAATTTTTATGTACAGTATTAAGTTATAGTGCCATAAGAAGTGCACCTCAGTAACCTTGTTTTAGCATTCTTAGTAATGACAAATGAATGTGTTTACAAGTGGTATTGACTTGTTAATAATAAAAACCAGTTTCATGGATTTGGCTTGGTTTAGTTTTTTTAAAAGATATATTTTTATCTATTGTTATTTAAACATAGTTGTCAGTGTTTTCTCCAAAAGCACTTAGGCTTATCAAAGGGGATTACACAATTACAATTTAACTTTATATATTTATTTAGGCTCGTACACAAACAACACAAAAATTGCACTGAAAACAACATGGTTTAGTTCCCTACACTCAGAATGGAATGTGAGCAGTGCAGATTAGTGACCTTGTTTTTTGTTTTACTTCCTTGTTATGCACCAGACACTTCGCAAGTCACTAGAAGCTGATGAATCCATTAGAGAAAGCATAGAGGCAGCCAAAAAGGTTGAGTTATTGCATTGTTGCATTATTTTTCTTTACAACTTCCGATCACTTTTTTATGCACATTGAAACTTATTATAATTATTATATAACTTTTGGTTGCATGAAGAAGGTATTTTTTTATTTAATGCTGTTAATTGAAAATGCTTACTCAGAGATTAGAAGAAGAAGCCAAACAAGGAAGAATGACTAACAACAACAACATAGTTGATGATAATGATGATGATGATGACAATGAAATTGAGGAAGAGTTAGAAGGTGCAAATGACAGTTTGAACCTTCATGATGCTGCAGCACTGGAAAGACTTCCTCAGCTGTCTAGCACACCAGATAAGAGAAGACGTGATGTTGAAAGCCCTGTTACCTATAGTCAGGACTTTGAAGAGTCTTCTGATATGAGGACAAGTACATCTAGAGGTGAGAGAAATCAGTCTGATATGGCAGGAAACCCTGATCTGAGAAGGGGCAAATCTGACAAGACCAAGAGTTTATCTGCGGGTGTTGATGGCCAGGAAAACAAAGTTCATCAAAGGAGCAAAAAGGTCATAGATTTTCCAGAGAACCTGGCAGAGGAATTGGTTGTTCTTAGTTTCTCATCATCGGCAGGTGAGCATGATTTTGTGGAAAACAATTGGGGGAATGGTAGAAGGTTTTAGAACAAAATGAAGCAGAAATATAACAAATGATCACTTGATTTGTTTTTACAATCAATCAGAAATTAGTGGCAAGTTTAACATACTAAATGGAAGATTTGACATCAACCTGTTGCCTTTGATATATACTTGGTATTGCAAGTGAATATATGAAAGATCATACATTTGAACTGCAGAGAAAGATATGAAGACATGATTGATCATCGCAGTTATACACAACTTAAGCAGTTGTAAAATTGAAGCCTGAAAAAAATTCAGGCCTGAACGGGATTGAAACCCATGACCTCTGGGATACCGGTGCAGTGCTCTACCAACTGAGCTATCAGGCCAACTGAGAGCTGGTCACGTTGTGAGTTCATAATANTTCTCAGATACAGCTCCCCCCACTTAGCCAATCAGTGCAGGGAAAGTTTACTACCGTTAACGTCCTGGTGAATAGAATCTCCAAAAAACCCTTGTTTTTTCCGTAGCTCGGTTTTTCTTGAAGCTGGTCACTCTGGCAAAATGGGGAAGATGAAAAAGGATACGAATGCTAGAGTGGCTGGGCGAAGAAAACAAATAAAAGAAAGTGCGGCGGAGCAACTGTGCGTGGTTAACTGTGCTTGGATAATATTTCAGTGGGTCTCAATGAGTCTAACGGTTTGCCGATATCAGATTCATCGGAGTCTCTGTCAACATCCCTGTTATTGCTGTCAAGGTCCCAAATTTTTACATAACCTTTCTTTTCTCTTCCCTTGATTTTTTTTGCTCGTCTTATACGATCGCTATAGCTTCATCCACGTGGGAAACTTTCGCATCTTCACTCATTGATGTATTTTCACTTGTTGTTCGCTGCTTTCGCTTTTTCGAACTGGTCCATATTTTTAACGTGGTCTACCTTTACTTATAACTTAATAGAATTACACCTAACACCAAAAATGCTTGGTGGTCAGAACAACAAAGCTGATCAACTGATGAGTAGTCAATTTGTGACATCTGCACAGGTAATTCCCGCGAAAATCGTCTCGGTTGATTGTATACGCGCCATAGGGCTATCAATCAAGATGTAAACTTTTACTTCCGGCAAAAACGTAAAACCGCCATTTCTCCGCCAATATTTAGTCTTTTTCAAATTTTTTTTTCGGGAATTAGAGATTACTCTTCAACCACTACTTTGACCCAAAAATCCAAATTTGGAGAAAATTGCTGACCTGAAGGTATACTGTAACCTTAAGTTGAGTATAACTGCAATGATCAATCATGTCTTTATACTTCATATATTGGTTTAATATCCTGTCAATGTTCAAAAACTACAAACTTAAGCCACTGTATTGCTGGGAATAACAGTTGGTCATCAGACATTGTCTGACCAAATTGGTGAATTTACAAGTCTGACTAATTGTACATTAAGATCATACATCATGACTGAGCACCAAAATGATGTAGCGTTTAGTTGTGAAGATCTTGTTTCTAGACCATGTTTACTTTCTATTGAAACATGTGAAAAATAACACATAGATCATACTGATCCATGATTTGTTTGGCTTTAATGTTCTCTCCAGACTTCCATAAAAACATTGTGAAACAAACATCTGCTTTGAAAATCTCCCCATAATGTCAGTTGGTAATTTGTTTGGCCAAAATAGAGACTTGAAAGGATGCATTTCCTGCTACATAATAAAAATTAATTCCAGCACTGTGGTGTAGTGTTCTATCAGAAAATAATTTCATGTGACCATACCCCCTCCACAGAAGGTTTTGGTTTGAACCCCCTTTGAGCTCCAGAAAGTTCAGTTTAGCTACATACTTTCTGTTAAATTTTTTTTGCCTTTAGTTAAAGTTTGAGACCCACACCCCCCTCAGAATTCGCAGTAACTCCAGAGATGCAGAACTTTAAAAGCTGACTGCTGGCTAATTTCACTGGCGTAAAGAGAACTTAAATCTGGATGAAATTTCACATGAAAATAAAGACATAGAGTAACTTTGGAGATAAAAAGGCTAGAAAAGCTCTTTGGGCTTGTTAATGAACCAGTTTAGTGTTTTCTTATATAGCTACATCCCTGTGACTTTCCATACAGTGAGTATGGACAATTCCTAGCACTTTCAATTGATAGAACTGCACAATCCACAGGATAAAATTGTACTTAAAGTTGTTTCTGGTTTCCCTGTCTTTCACAGTCATGGCATGATTGTGTAAAGTTCTGTAGTTTTATTCAATACAAGCCATCTTTTAATTGTCGTTGAATGCCAGTTTTACTTTGATCTGTTGGTGGTCTCTTTTGGTTATTGAAGACAAGAGTTTGATGTACATGTACTTTAAATTTATAAGAATTAAAAATCTCTACTTACCAGGGCCTGTTATAGGCCTGTCTGTGGCACTATAGTTAAAGCTTACAGTGACTCTCAGTTGGTTAAGAGTAAAGGCCAGCAGTGTCCTTAAAAAAATGATACTCAAGTGTGAATAGTTAGCCTCTGACTTCTTATTCTTCTTATTAATTATTGATGAACTATTTTGCCTTTTTGAAATCATAAACTTTGGAAACTTTTTTTAATTTTATTTCTCAGTGAATAAAAAAGAACGGAAGCTCTCAGCAACACGGTAGGTTTGATTTGTAGTCATTGTAGTACACACTGTTTTTGTAAGGTTTTTAAAAGCTAGAAAATGAAGTCACTTAATTGACATTAATAGACATTTTTTGCAAAATATGATTGAGCTAGATGCAGGTAATATTTATATTTGGTTGTTTTCTTTGAAAGGTTTCAGTTTTGTATTTTTATTGTTGAAAAATTCATGCAAACTACGTTTACAACATTAACATAACATAATCATGAAAACAGAAGACAATAGATAGCATGCTGTTTTAGTGCCATCATTAAAGTAATATTGACAGTCTATTAGTTAAAATGAAGAGTATCATATTTTCACATACTGTATATTTCTCAGTAAAGCTCAAATAAGATACATGTAGCTTTGTGGCTCTTCTGTAATAGTCCAAAAAATATTGATGTCAAATTTGGAGCTGTGTTATACCTGTATCTCAGTGACTCCTCATTTACTTAAGCCTGCCATTTAAGCAAGATGAAGATTTACATCAACTAGTGGAATATCAAATAAAAATATAGCGTGACCCATTTTCTGTGTCCTTGCTACAAGGCCTCCATGCAGAGGTGATTCTGTCAGTGTTACAACATTGAGCTAGGATGTGTTGGTGGAGAAATCGTTTACTTTTGATACCAGTAAAGCTAACCTGGAACAGGAGAGCTTCCTGAACTACCGGTAGCTAGGCTATTAGACATGAATCTGCTGCAATTTACAGAATACAGGTAAAATTAATCCTTGAATTCATTCAACCAGTTACTAAACTAATTTTGTTTATGTTTTAGAAGGAAGAAAAATACAGATGATTATCGCTCTGCAGATCTCTTTTCATCCAAACAAACTTCAGAAACCCAACAGCAAAAAAGGTTAGTTACATATGATGTAAGTGGTAAGAAATAAAACCAAAAATGGCTGTTATCACAAGAGTATGTGATTGGTATTTAATAACTAAATCTAGTGCAGTCAGTTATACGCACTAATCAGATTCAATATAAAATAACATTCTATGTCGTCAGAGGTACTGCGAGTTAGACTTGTTGTTTTTTTCGGAAGGGGAAATGTCACTCTTTCTTTTTTCAAAACTCCCAAGATACCTTTTGTCAATGATGACTTGCTAAATGAACAAAAAAGTGTCTTTGGGTGTCATAGTTTTTAAAATTATTGTATTATGATTTAATTACATCTGATGCAACATTTAAATAATTAAGACGTCACCACCCAATAGAAACCCACCTTACAACCACCCTGTTAATAGGACAACCTTGTTATTACAGCCATAATAATCCTTTTATTGTCTCTATTCAGGACAGAGAAAAATGAACCATACAATAATGACGTGACCCTGACTTCTGGTAAGCAGAACTTTTGAACAAAATTAAAGTTTGTTAGGTTCACTAAATCCATAGGAGGTCAAATACAAATTGATTGGGTTCGGACAAATTGTTAAAAGTTGTCACTTGTAAAAGAAAAAGTGGTTTGGGTATCTTCAATGAAAATGCTATTCTGATTTGAAAGTTTTGACATAGTTAAGTACTAATTTTTCCGGATTTAGAAGCTAGAGTAGAGGTATCCTGTGCATAACAGTTGTTTCCTTCACAAGCGTGCAAGAAACAAAAAGCTTGGAAGGCATGCAGAGGCTATGATCATGGTCACTTTTTCATTCAAACCCTTGTGTGCCTCCCAAGCTTTTCATTTGTTGCGTGCTTATGAAGAGAATAGACTACTCTGCAGTCTAGAGTAGAGGAAAAAGGCCAAATACGTTTACCCTGAAAATAATTATACATTTTTCCATGTACACGAAGCTACTATTCCTCTTATAGCTCCTGAGAAGAAAAGTAGACCTTTGTCTGCAAAAAGAAGGACTGAATCCATGGATAAGGTGGATGACAATGCACAAGAGATTTTTAAAGCAATGGCAGTAGAGAATCAGACAATAGGTGGGAGTTAAATAATATTTTCACATTTAGTAATATCTACAGTAACGAATCTGTGTATATACCTTCAGCATTATGGACTACCCTAACCCTGGAGCACAGACTCTACCTTTATGGATAAAGCAAGATCAACTGCCTTTTTTAGATTTCAGTTTGTAGAAACATTTAGTTAGCAGCATTACTTGATTTCCTCATGACGGGATTATTTAGACAGAGAACAAGATTCCAATTGAAAGACATGTACTGGTATCTCTATTAATTCTCTTCCATGTACGTAGCATGTTTCATTTTTGTTCCATATTAATAGAAAAAGCCTCTGGTTCACAGACTGCTCCTGAAAGATCAAAGGTAAAATGATTATATAACTACTTGTTCTTTGTTTGTCAGATCATTTATGAATTAAACTAATTTAAATATGATTAAATAAAATAATATAAAATTATATGATACTTTCAAGTTCATTTATTCTTTTCATCTTGGTAAAAAATATTTTACAGTTAGTCTGATACTAAAGTATTTTTTGAGGCAAGGGAAAATGTTGAACAAGGAATTTATAAAATGTTGGCTTATTGCCAAACCACTGTACATGAGATGTTATTAGTATATTTTAGTAGTACAGTGTACCCCTGGAGAAAGTTTTCCTTTTTTTGTTCTGTTCATACAGACTGATCATATTTGCTTTGTTTTCTGTCAAAATAATGCTGGTCAAATAAGGTTATACCCTAATCACTCTGAAACAATTATAAAATATTTTGTAACTTATCTTGATAAACACAAACACGGCATCAGGGGTGGGCATCTTGTTTATTGATGCAGGATACAGCAAGGGTTACATCATAAAGAAAATACAGCGGCAAATAAACAAAAAATTAAAGCAAAGTTGAAAGAGATTCCTTCGAGTGACTCTTGCATAACTTACAAAATCTTTTAGAATAGCCTACTAGTCCCAGCCCTAGGGATTTATCGTACCTGCAAGCATGCCTAAAATACATAAAGAACATACTCCAGTGTAATTAACAAAGCATTAACACCTGGATATACAAAATTATATTTGTGCCTGTTCTTGTGTCATTATTACTGGAATATTGAAAAGGGCGACTGTTCAAAGCTTTGCCAAAAGGTGAAATGCCTTTTATTGGAGTAACATTTTCCTACAGTAAGGGGGAACCGGTTAGGGACTATGGAGAAAAATGATCCTAACTCCAAATTCACCTTCACTGAAAATTCCCTCCAGTAGTTTCTATTACAGTTCTGTCTGTGATTTTCTCATACCTTGTTGCTTGGTTATCCATGGCTTGTTCAATTTTTCTCTCAGCATCTCTCCAGCCCTCCACCATCTGAAGTTAAAAGACCATCATCATTATCTTCCTGTCCTCTGAAGACTGATGAAACAATAGCTCTTGTGACAGAAAAAGTCAGAAAGATGGATGCTAGGTGAGTGTAAAGTATGTCTGTTTTAGCATATCTTTGATGCCAAAATTTCACATACAAGACCACATTTAAGTGTAATGATGCGTAAGCAATTCAAGTAAAAGTGTTATTTGCAGGAAATCTTCATTAGTTTGTGTTGTTTATCCAATATTATAACATTTAATCATTTCTCATTTACAGGCAACAGCATCATTTGATAGAACTTCTGACTAAATTAGAATGCAAGGCTCCTTTCAAGGTGTCAAGTCCAGCATCTTCCCCACGACTTTCACCAATGAAAGCCACAGTACCATATACACCTGTGGCAAGGTCTACTTCAGCAGAAGGTCAATCTAAGGTAATGGAATTGATGCTTCCCCCAATTACCTCCTTCCCCAACTCAAAAAGCTTTTTCTTTTTAATTTGCTGCTCATCTTTTCTGCAAACGAATTTAAACCGCGAGCTGAATGGGCACTGTTGGTTTTCTTTATTTTTCATTATCTTTTTATGTACAGAATTCAACAAAATTATTTTAAGTCCCTTAAATGGGCTGGTAGCTAATAAAATATAAGCAAATTAAATATTTAAAAAGTTATCTTTGAACTACAAATGAATACAATAATTAAGAAAGGTATTAAAAAAAACATCAATCAGAAGAATGTTGAAGTTTACAATTATAATAGTCGTTTAAGCAGAACCCACAACATTGTACATGAGGAAAAGGTATGTTTTTCTCTAATTTACTATTTTTTTCATTTTGAAAAATAAAACATACAAAGACTTCTGATGGGAATAAATTCTGGCTGTGTGAAAAGAATAGATTGGTCGCAGTGAAGGATTCTTCTATGCGATATTATTGGTCATGCAGTTTTACAGGCAGCTACATGTACTATTTTTTGTTCTTCAGGATTTCAGTGTAATAGATTCATTAGATACTGCAGAAAATAATCAAGAAAGTGAAGAAGGAACAGATGTCTACTTTGAGATCCTTACAAACTGGGGCAACCCAAAGTATTTAGGTTTAACTGAGGTATGTGTCAAAATATGTAATTCTTGTAATCATAAACAATCCCCTGCATGTATTATGTGCCCCAAGGGGCTGTGTAGCTTTATCCTGATATACATATACTACATACATGTGATATTCCTGTGACTCATGACCCACAGCATTCTCATTCTCCCAACATTTCAAACATGTTTCTATAGCTTCATAGCAATGCAGAAAATTTTTCCTTCTACCTGATCAACAACAAAATTTGCATGGCAACAGGAAAAGGAGAGTGTTGATCAATGTTATTCTTGGTTTTAACAAGCATCCATGTATTAAACACTTCTTCTCTATAGATTCAGTTCTTTGATTTGGAAGGCAACCTCATTCCCTATGATGAGCACCATGTGAGCATCTCAGGCCATGTTGGAGAGGAAGGTGTTCTGGGTAATTTGGCCAATGGCAAAACAAAGGTATGGCATTTCTGATTGCATGGTAAAGTTCATCATCTGTCACAGTTACATTAACTGAATAGGATTCCTATGTTTTGCATTGTTGTAAATTAACATCAGCTTGACCTGTATGTATTGTTTGACTGTATTAATAGACAACCAAGGGTCGTTACATGTGGTCATGTGGCTTCCAAAGCAAGCATCCGGTTGAATTGGTGTTCCACCTCCCTGGTGTTGAAGCAGGCAGNTTTAGGAGCCAGAGCCAATCATTAGAAGCCAAACTGTAGTATTGAGGCGATCAAGCGATGGAATGAAACAGGAGAACAGAGATGACGACGAAACACAAACAGATGGGCATCGACAAGAAATACAGGATCAGCCTGTTATCAGAAGCACAACAGTGTTGTTAAAACAATCAGCTGAGATAGATCAACAAGGATACAAACCAGAGGAAAGAGACAGTAGTTTAGAACCTCCAGAAAGGAATGCAAGGTAAACATACAGCACCAGATGGGTCTAATAACCTACAACTATAAGTGACACAAAGGTGCTGGTTTTCCTACCTTTAGTGAACATGATTGTATCGCTACACACAACACAATGGCAGCTCCAACAGTTACTCCATTTTATGTGGATGTGGGTACATCAAATAGCCAGTCAGAGTGCAGTATAACATACTATGCGGCTTGCCACATACTTTGTTGGAATCTTTAAATCAATCTTAGAATTCCTGATAGGTTATATACTCTTGGGAGGAGTCTGGGTCTGCTCACTCTCACTCTCCCCCTGTGAATCAGGTTATGTTGTACCCTGCAATGTTATAAATCTCTCTTTTTTTTAATATTGGCTTTAATATATTTTCCAGAGCTGATAAAGATGATGTTTCTTCAAAAGAACATCAAAGGATTCTAAAACCACCAGGCTCACCAAGATCCCAGCCCAAATCACAAAGATCACAAAGACGAGTCACATCAGCAGAAGAAAATAAATCAGCAGAACAGATCCCCATGCAGGACAGGTAAGAAGTCGTGGCCCTTAATATTAGTGACAGGTTAGGTCCCTCTTATATGGCAATAACCATTCTAAGCCTCTGCAACAGTACAGATCAGATCACTTTTATTATTATTGAAATTTTTTTTAATTTTAATTTTTATTTTCATTACTCACACATTGTACATATTTGGTCTTTTTATTTATTTATTTATTTATTTATTTATTTTATTTATTAGATGTAAATATTGTAAATCAGTAATGCAGGTCCACATCAGCCAATGGCTGCCAGATTTTCTAACCTGCGAGACCAAATAAAGTATATATGTATCTATGTACAAAGTTTAGGGCAAGGCCGAAGGGTCCCCTCCCCAAGATCAGAGGTTATAATAAGAGGCTGATGTAGCTTTCCTTTCTTTTGGTATTGAGGTTAAAAGACAAAGCTCTGAAGTCTCTGTTGGCTATGGACTCGTCATCGCCGAATTCTAGAGTTGGAGAACAAACCTTGGCTACCAGGTTGATATGTATTCTTTTTTCAGAGAGTCCACTATTTACAGATATGAGTATTACCTGAGGAGACAAGAATGTCGTTAAAGATTGGCTTTATCGTTTCACCAACAAAGTTGATGAGCAATTTGTTTCTTAACAGGAACAACAGTAAAAATTAATATGTTACCTTATGTCACGATCAAAGAAATTTCAGCCATAACAGGTGTGGAGAGAAATCTGGTTAAGGGGCATTCCTACTCAAGGATGTTGTCTTGCTTGTGGCAGGAGTGTCCACTCAAATGAAGTGCTGTCTTAATTGGTCTGAATTGTCTACAGGAACATTTCTGCATAAGGATCATGTCCCCATTTGTCTACTTGTGGGAGATATCCTCTTAGGGGAGTTGTTTAATAACAGTTCCCTTAGTCCTTTCTTCCAATTGCCAACTGAAAGTGGGTAGGGGTTCTGTTTCTTTTTGAGACTCTTTAGGAGGGACTTAACAGAGAGGTAGATTTACAAAGTCTTTTTGGTGTTTATTTGTTCTTAATAACAAATCTCCGCTTAAAGATTAGAATAAATGCGAATATTTGTTGTGTTGTGTGTCCTTAGGTCAAATTCTACACCTAACCTTTCATCTTCACAAACTCTAGAGAGTTCAGAGTTGGGTAATGATTCTGTCAGGTAAGATGGCATTTCTAACCATTTTATTAAAGGGGCTCAGTCACGATTNCCTACCATTTAAAGGTAATTTTGTATGTGGCCAAAATAACTCAAAATACCGTGACTGAGCTCCTTTAAAGTAGTCGTGAAAAGTGATTTTGGTTTTTACATCTATTATTTTCTTCCTAGAAATTTAGTCTGCCTCTAGGGTACTGGTTAATTGGTTGTGTGGCGTGTGACATTCTAACAGCTGTAATGTTACATAGTGCCTGCTTTACAATTCTTTTTCTGTTATCAATATGTCACAAGATTATTCCTTTTTTTCAGAGGGAATTCAGCTGCTGGCTCGGTGTTACCTAGCAAACCTCCTTGGCTAGAGTCAAGTAAGAAGAAAGACAAAGCTGGGTAAGATTTATCATGTATAGAATGTACTGTAGGTATCTTCAGTCTAAAGAGAAATCTCCAGATTATTGTCTCTACGAAATCTTACATTGAGTTAAATAATTGTGTTATCTTTATTAAGGTACCTGTAAATTCATCCTAGTCTATCATATGTCACCACTTCGCCCAGGAAGTGCGGTTAGAGCACTGTCCTTGGCAAACGGAGGCCATTGGGTTCCCATCCTTTCAGGGACTCAGATGTGTTCTTTCCCCCATTTTCCTGACCTAGTGCACATATTTTCACCTTTCTACAAATTTCATGTTCACTTTGGTGGTTCATTCCTTGCAAACATAGTGCTTTTGGTCTTGTTGTGGTTGATGTATTTTGAGTTTGATCCTTTGTGTTGTGTGGGTTGTTACCCACGCAGACATAAAAGCTCTTGACTTACAGTCCTTACAGCTGAGAAATGTGAACTAAGAACTAATGCAATATGCCAGCCTAAATCACATTAAATATCCTGTCACATCAAAAGACTGAAAAGAATTAATTAACATGTTTCCTTGTCTATTCAGTCAGAGTTCATCATCACGTTCATCTTCAAGGTCCAAGTCCAGACCCATTTGGCTTGAGGATGAGTCAGGTGAGTTGATGAAGTGGAAAGCAAAAGGAAACTCTAACGGTTTTGATGGACAATGAAGTTCCATCTGGAGTTGTGTTTCCAGAATTAACCCTTGTGTAAAGTGATGTGGTTAGCGTGAATTGTAACCAGTGGATCAAACCGATAGCATGTTACATGTTCGTGAGCAGTGAGTTTAGACTTGGATAGACATCAACAATATCCATTTTTAAGTCGCATTTGTTTCCAATGCGTGCAAGGTTTCACCACGTATGATGTTAATACGATTAAGTGTTAAAAACGATTGTCCATTTGGTGCGCAATAAAAACGATCGTATTCAGATAACCTTGTGACCTTGTGAAATAGGTTTACTGGCTGTAAATAGTACGGCTTCATGGCGGGCAAGAAAGTGGAGAAAAGAGGTGGATTATATTGTGTGCAAGGTGTTGTAAGGGTCCTACGTACACAGATGGTGTTCTACGTCATCAATTTTCGATTTGCCCCAGTCTCACACAGAATATTGAACCCACTTTTGAAGTCAATCAAAAGTGCGTCAATGATTAGCGCACCTTGGATGAGTTTAGAAAGCAAATATTCCTTGTTCTTCTCTTGAAGTCATGATTATTTTTACTGTTTGGATGCAATAAGCTGGGTTAAAAAATCATTTCAAAGGCACTCAAAAAGATTTAAAAATAAAGATTATTTCTTCGCTTGAAAATGATTCCGAGATGATATTGCGACCTCGCTAATTTTAATTCTTAAATGTTTATTTAAAACTACAATGATTAGAATTTGAAATGTGCAAGGATCTTTTTTTCATAGTTGTTAATCAAGGAAGAAGTAACAGTCTGACAGATGTACAGCAGTCATCAGAGGAGCTGTTTAGGGATGACAAGCCTCGATCAAGACCATCAAGTGGACGGAGGTCCAGTATTCCTGCTGCTAACAATAAACCTGATCCATGTCTTGGTGAACTGGTCAGCAAGTAAGTTGAAAAATAATTAAAATGGAGCAGACTTTCCATCCGTTTGAGAAGTCATAACGGTTAACAAATCATAACAGAACCCCCATAGTCATAACAGGTGTGTTGTTTGTAAGACTTTTCACCAGGGTGAATAATCAAATGGCTAATCATCTCAATGCAAATAGCATAATGGATCATTTAGAAGGTATAGTAAACATGCAACTGATTGGAAATGTAGTCTGCTTTGCTGCCATTCTTGTAGATTATCGCTGCTGGAGAGAAGCTCGAGAAACTGTGTAATATTTCTTACCTTTATATTCAGCTTCTAACTAAATGCTTAATTAAACTTGAGAAAAATTTATATCCATGACAGAAACTGCATTTCTTGTAGGGTTAAAATAAGCTCCCACTTATGGTTTCAGTATATAACTTTTTCAAGTCAATAAACCACTTTCAATAATTAATAGTAACGTACCACATTATACCTTAGTAGGCGATATATCAAATGTTCTCATTCCTTATTTACAGTAATGAATCTCTACCCACATGTCTGGATGGTACAGCTAATCAGTCAGTGAGTATTATCAGACTGTTTACTGTACTTCTTTATTTCTTACAGATTTGGTTTGTGCCCTTATCATGTTGCAAACTTTTCCGACTTATTAACTCGGGCAAAGATGACTTGTAGTAGGCTAAGCCTTTCATGAAGTTTATAATTATGCAGGAGGTGCGGGGACTTGTTGGTTGCACTCTTGTTATCTGCATCAAGTTGTCTGAAATTAAGCTCTGCCCGGGGTCATTGTGTTGTGTTCTTTGCAAGGCACTACTATGGAAGCACGGTCTCTCTTCACCCATGAGTATAATTGGTTGTGAATGTACTTTGAGGTTAACCTAAGTACTGGGGGAGGGGGGAGTGATGGAGTGGGGGTATGTATCCTGTGATGTACTAGCATTCCATCCAGGGGGAATAAGAAATTATCCTAGTAATTTCATGTTCCAGAAACCAAGGTAAGCACTTGCAAGGTGATTATTGTTGTTTATTTATAACAGGGGTTTCTTTAAGGTTCAAGCAAGAGGAAAATTGAATTCCATAGGCTGGCAATACGATTTGAACTCAACTTCGTAACTAGGATAAATTTTGTCAAGATGTTCAAACGAGTAAGGGAAGATTTTCCACACATGAGGTGAATTTGCCCGGGCCCAGCCCTTAATAAAACCCCTGCAAGTTAGAAATGCTATGGTTACTTCTACCCAGGAAGGAAAAGGTCACAGTGGTTCAGGGAGAAGAAAAGACGAAGATAAGGATGTCAATGAACCAGTCACAGAAGAATCAAAGACACCTCATGATGCCAAGACAGCTCGAACAACGTGGAGAAGGTAGAACACGAATAACATTATTTAAAAATCGCATGGATTAGGGATCAGGTTAAAGTTAACTTGAATAGAATTCAAACTATTGTACTTACTAGACCATCAGAGGCCATGTGCTCTCGTCGACATAAATGCATTTCAATCATGCATTCTCCATGAAGAAAATCATGTTTAAATTTTACAGAGAGCTTTTCTCAGGGAGATTTTGATCGTTCTTCAGACAGATGATGTGAACTCTTGAATAGTTTCAGCTGATTTGACCATGTGCTGATGATACATGTACTCGTTAACTGCTTGACTGATACTTTGGACTTTTCGCATTTTTCTCTCACAGGCAGCAGAATTTGAGTTTGGAAGAATCCTGGAGTTTGTTGTCATTATTTGAGAAGTCGCATAGAGGTCGGATTACAAAGGACATTGATCTAGAAAATCATGGTGAGTCAGTACTCCAGGCACGGTGGACCAGTAGTAAGTAGTTTCTGCATTTCCTTAGACTCTGGTTCAGTAGGTTGTGTTTCGTAACAAAGCATATTGCTGTCATTGGTAGTACCCTCCAACAGCCATGTGTGTAAGGGTGTAGTCAAACCTGACAAAATGCTAGGCTGGGGTGTGAGGGGGGGAGGGGGGGGGCTTACACAGTGAATAGGGTAATTTAATTGCGTGCTGTTTCTGGTCATTGTAACTTCAGGCATCTTGCATACACAAGGTGTGCTGAAAAGTTGCCCTAACTTGTTGCTGCGTATGCAAGAAAAGGGCGTTCTAAGTGACGCAAAACCACATTCTTATCCGATCTCGATGCAAGAACGCTTTGTAATCTTCCGTGTTTCATGGGTAAATAAATGCTGTTAGTCACATCTACATTTTGTAACTCAAGAAATGCGTGTGTCGGGACAGTATGAACACTCTCCACTTATGTTTTTTAATATAATCCCGTAAGCTGACATTCATTTAAGTGTTCCACCTGCTTTCCGCTGTAGCATAGAAATTTCTTCTTTTATTTGACAACTAAACTGAATCGTTCTGCTCACTCACCATTATTTTCCTTTCAGGCGATGCTCTTGATGAGTTACTTTCCAAAAAAGACGAAACCTTAGAGCCAATAGGAGAACAGACAAGGGAGATGGACGAAAGGTACATCAATATTTAACCGTGAAATGCCGTCCAAAAGTTTGAATATTTTCCGAATCTTTTAAACGATCCAAAATGGCATTAAATGGCACCTTGAAAAAAGAGTTCTGATTTCTAAGCTGCGATGCAGATGGGAAAGGGCTTAGGCTGTCCAGAGTAGAAGAGTATACTGAAGTGAACACCGATTCTGAGGATCACTTTGCAAATCTAGATTAGCTTTACAGTGTATTATAGGGGGGTTTGTAGACGAAGTTGTTTTATTCATATCCTTGTTGACTTAATTTCAACGTCATACAGTGGAAGCTCTCTTAGCTGAGACTCTCGTAATCGGACAGCTCTACGTACGACCGCCTTCACAATATCCCGTTTAAACTCCAATACAAACTCTGTATTTATTCATTTCCGAGAGCGGACATTCCCGTCAGCAACCACGAACACTTGGAGGGCTTACGATCTAGATTTTTCCTTTGTTTTTAAGCTCCCGTAAGCGGACACCCCAAAGGAAATCCCATGTATATCGCATAGTATCGAAATTAAAACTGCAGTTAGAATCTGTATATCGTAATCGTACGCGGCAGTTATCTGTATACGGTTATCGCCATTATCAAAAACTTAACAAATTGACGTCAGTCTTTCATGCGTCTGTCCTGTTATTCATCATGAATTTGGTCACAACATTGCCAAAGTAGCTGTTTTTTTACGATAACAAATTGTCAAATTGTCTGCTCTCGCTCTCTGATGCATCGCATAAATTATAAATTCATGTGTCTGTCCGCTTATTGACGATGAAAATTAGCCAATGAGCGCGCGAGAATTTCTGCAGTTATCGTACAAAAATCACTTGAAACTGTGGTACTTTTTGCATTTCCAGTGTTTATTGTTAGCTGGGCAAGCTCCTGTAAGCGGCCGTATGCACCTTACAACTCTAGTGGCCACTTACGAGGACTATTCTCGTAAGCGGCCAGCTACAGTTACAGACACCTTTCTCGCGTTCGAGGGTGCCGCTTACGAGAGCTTCCACTGTATTCAGTATTGCATTGTCATTGTCAAGAAAGTAAGAAATTTTTGGGTGTTAACAACATGTTAGGGAAACTAGTAAGAACACAAAATGCTTGTGTCAAGCTGAGACGCTTAATGTGAACTTTTTTCATCTCATACTTTGCGTCAACGTGGCATTCATCTTATTTTCTCAGCACTTTGATTGATTTGGAAATCCCGATACTTCCCAAAGGACAGCAGTTAGTTATAAACATCAGGAATACCTGGGGAGACAGGCATTATGTTGGGCTTAATGGAATCGAAGTGTTCACTGACTGTGGAAAGCCTGCAGAAATTGCAGAGGTTAGTATATAGTAGACAAGGTAATGCGTCTACCAAATTAATTTTCTCGAGCCTCAAGCTCAAGAAAGGAATTCTCCCTATAATCTCTTTACATTTCTTTTGATATGGGTCGTAAGAATTTCGTGGCTCATCAAGAAACATGGCTGACCAAATGACCTTCATTCTCCCTCTCTGTCTACTTCACAGTTCTCTCATATTGTGACGAGTAAGGATTATCTTTATTTCTCCTAGATCACTGCAGATCCTCCAGATATCAACATCCTTTCAGAATATGGCAATGATCCCAGAGTAGTGACAAACCTCATCGATGGAGTTTATCGCACCAGGTATAAAACTCGGCAAATAGTACTGGAAAAAGCCAAATGCAAATTCTATTGGATATATGACTGTTCCCGTCAGAAAGCAAAGGATTATTGCTAGTTGTAAAATTGTTGTAAATTTCGCTTGGATCACCTTTATTTACCAGATTAAGACATTTTCAGCGGAATGAACGGTACTCTTCCACAAATCCAAGGTGGAGTTTCTGGTACAAATTCTCTAGAAACCGAGCTTTCAAGCCGACAAGGTCTTGCTGCTTTCAGATTTCCATTCATTTTGGAAAATTGATTCACAGTCCAGGTGTATATTAACTGAAAAGACGTCATTAAATTTTCTATTTTCTTGCCAGATATCTAAACGTAACAGAATTTGACTGTTTCAGGAATGACATTTTCAGAAATTATTTAACTTTGTATCGGCTTTTAAAACAACAATGTACTTTGCGCTACGATTGCACCTTTTTGAAGATAACCGAAGAAACAGCGAATATACAAGTTTTCTCTTCCTTTTTGTTGATTCTTTGTTAGTTTGGTTTGTTAATCAGGGATGATATGCACCTGTGGTTAGCTCCGTTCACTCCAGGAAGCAAACACACTATCACTATCAAATTTGTGGACAGTTTAAGAATCGCCATGATAAGAATATGGGTAAGCTATTGACAGTATTATTTTGATCTATTGGCCCTGAAATCACATGCACAAATATTGGTATACTTAGTTTTACTTATGAATAAGCTAACGATTTTTCAACGTTCCTTTCCTTTACATTTGCAGTAACTTAAACGTCTTAATATCACAGGAAGGGACTTGTTATCATAAGGGTTAGCACGCAACTTAAGCTATGCTTTTCTAGTGCTATACAGACACAAAATAAAGGGTCGCCATTAGTTAGTTTCTAAACGATCAGAAAGTTTTGGTCACGTATTTTTGTGGGATCATGAAAGTATTTGAGACAACTTGACTTATAAGTGTGGACACTATTATTTTTTGTACAGTACATGTATGTTTAAGTAACCAAATGTCATAACCTACAGTCGAAACCTGCTATGTAGAACTCTTAAGGTTAACGAAAACTAGTTCGAGAGGTCGGGGGTTCGAGAGGGCTGATAGTAAGTGACTGAAAAAGTGTATCCAGGGACAATGATTTGCGTTCGAGATAGCTGGAAGTTCGAGACAACCGAGTTCGAAATAGCAATGTTCTTCTGTCCTTGGTTATAAGTCTACCATGAATACTCTGCTGGGTGTCAATGAATTCATTTCTGTTTTCCTCAGAATTACAACAAATCAAGGATCCATTCCTTCAGAGGAGTGCGACTGGTTGATATCACACTGGATGATAACCTGATATTTCAAGGAGAAATTGCACGGTATTGTCTGTCCATCCGTGGTTTTGGAAGATCTTTGTTTTCATGTCACTTTGCAGTTGTCTTTGTTTTGTATCATGATGTGGATAACTCAAAATTACAATAAATAGTTTTCTGCACGCAGCAGCGACCTGATGCTATGTCAAACCCGATTTTAAAACGTCTCACAAACGGGAACTTAAGACAGCTTTCTCCGGGAGTTACTTTACACTATTACTGACTGTCATATTTCTCTTATCATGTTATATTCAGTCAGGTGGTCACCGTTCACTTGCACTGTTGATGTGCAAGGGTTTTCCTAACCTGGGATCGGGCGGGGTTTTTTCGGCGAATGGGGGAAGGGCTGTGAAAAAAAAACCCTGATCGCAGGTCAGGGTTCTCCTGTTTAAAAGAGAAAATGAGGAAAACAGTTTTTGTAACTTGGCTCTTTTTTTCGAAATCTTGCAGGGCAAGTGGTATCCTTGGAGCAGATGATCCCTTTGGTGATGTAAGTAAATCAATTAGTTTATTCAGTGTGTTTCTTTTTCGACGTTTTTCTGTGTTTGCGTTTGCGAAGCTTTTTAATTTGTCCAAGGAAGACAACTTCAGCCAATCACAGCAAAGTTGTCGCTAACATGCGACCAATCAAAGAAAAGACTTTGACTCAAGCGACTTTTCCCGCTTTTTTCACCGGTCGCCTGGACTACGATTTTTCTTATTGGTTTCTCAGTAATTGATCGGTCTTACTGTACTGTGAACAGTGAAAATTATTTTCTTGTCAGTGAAAAATAAGGAATTTTTTGTATTGTTCACGGTTCCATGTTCCGGTTCTTCCTGCCGTGACAAGAACCTCTTTATTGAATCGCAATTTTTTTTAGTTTTGTTGCGTTTTCGATTTTTCACAACATATAACAGGAATTGAAAATATTTATCAACAGTAAAACATGTTTTCAAACTCGTTTGTAAAATTTCATGGAGTTTTTTTCTAATGTATTTTTTAAAGACCATTTTGTTCACCATGGATGAAGAGATTTTGGAAGCCATGGCTCAGTATGATCAGACGTATGATGGAGACGAGGAGGATGAAGATGAACTGTTACGGAGTTGTTACTTTGAACGTCCATCCACAGCTGATCTGGGAGAGGAAGGAGTGAGTAGAACACAATAAGTCACCTCACATCTTCAGTATTTTAATACTATGCCTCTAAAAAGGTAAATGCTACCGTTATTTATTTATTTTTTTTTTGGCATTTTTTTGACGAGGTATTTCCCTGGAAATAACCTACCAAAAACTGTTCATAAGTGGGGCCCCTTCCCCGTCCTTAAGGTATAGGCGAGTGGGCTTTTCAACAGACCAGTTTCGATACATTAAAATTCAACCTCAGTACGAGGCTCTGGTCAATAAACCCCACAAACTCTGTAGTTATTCCCCAGAGCCTTGTACTGAGGTCTATTGTTTTAGGCTGAATTTTAATATATCGAAACTGGTCTAAAGCTTTTTACCGTAGTACTTGTTTTGTATTTTTTGTCATTATGTTAGGAGTATTTTTCATGATAAGTGACCATTTATCAACCAATGATAATAAGCCCATCTGATAGTCCCCCTTCCAAACCCCTAATAATAACAAGACTTCTCAGTAAAAACAACCTTGGGGCGTGTTATTAGAATTAATGCCAGTTTTTGCAGATTTGAACATGTCTTTCTTGCACTTGAAAAGGGAAGTGGAGATCGGCCTTTTACATCTGCCAAACAGCACGCGAGGAAATCAAAACCAATTCCAGAACATAGTCAAGTGTCTGAAGGTTGGTGATTTTTTTGTACTTTTTGTTTGATCTATGTAATTAACTCTGTTAATTATGCAAAAGATTTATTTATCTAAGCTAATTATGCAATTTTGTTGACTGTGCTTTTTAGAACTTACAGAAGATACTACACCAAGTTCCACACACTATGTTGAAGGCAAGGGTAGGTGCTGTTAGAGAGTAAACCAGTTAGCATTGTAGTGGATAATTAATTACAGTTATAAGTGACAGTGTAGAGGAAGACACCTTTCTCCGAAAGATAAAAAAAGAAATCCGTTCCTTAAAAAATGAATGAAGGCAATTTATTTCAACGCTTCTTTACCATTATTTAAATTGAATATTGCTTGGTTACTTGCCTGTTTGCTCGCTTTCTTTATCCGGGGCTGGAAAATTAATAACAGATTTTACCTCTTTTGAGTAGGAATAAATTTATGTTATAAAGCCAAGATGTCCCAAACGCATGTACTTTTGTCAAATGGGATGAATTTTGTTTATTTTGTTATTATATTCTTTAGTTCTTCAGTTGAATTTTGTGTCGACCTGGGGAGATCCGTATTACGTGGGACTTACAGGGCTTGAACTGCTAGGAGCGAATCAGGAAGCCATTCCTCTGTCGTATAACATGTTAAAGGTAAGACCAGAGGTTTGTGTATGTCAGATTGTTGTACAACAGGAGCAGGGTTGGCGCAGTGGTGAGAGCGCTCGCCTCCCACCAACGTAGACTGAGCTTGATTCTGGCCTGGTGCTATTTGTGGTTTGAGTTTGTTGTTGGTTCTGGTCCTTGCTCTGAGGGTTTTTCTCCGGGTTCCCCGGTTTTCTTCCCTCCCGAAAATCCAACATTTCGAAATTCCAATTCGACGTGGTTGGAGGGCCCGGATAATAGAACACTGCGGACTTGATGTTATTGAGTATAACAGACTGACGTAGAATCAATACCTGTACAGCATTCGCCTGCGTCACGCCATACGTGACGTCATCATTAAGTCACATGACCTGGACTGGTTAACTGTTAATCAATTAAGACATGTGATGAATCTAGAAACTTTTTGCCGAAAAACTAAGAAAACTAGGCCGTCGACTGTTCTTTATTAAGTATTGAGTTCGTTTCCTGTAATCAGTGTTTGTAATTTTATATTATCCTTGATTTTAAAAAGGCATGTCCAAAAGATCTCAATGACCTTCCAGAGTACGAAGATGACGATAGAACACTTGATAAGTAAGTAGTTGATTAAACACTGTGTATTGCTGAGTACATGAGAATCAACTGTCTGTGCTGAGCGATGTTGGTTTGCAGTGTATTTTAGTGGGGGATATACCTTCCTACAAAGTGGTGTAAAGGGATAAACGGCTATTTGTTTATCACACAAAGGTGCTTTAGATGATATAAATGTAACACCCAAAGCATTTCTGATTGCTACTAACAAATTATATAATTGCAAAACCGTTTTATCTCACACCGTTTACAAATACACAAATTCTCTCCAGTTACTTCAGTGTTTTTTGTTTATTCTATTTTTCTTTTTTCAACAGAGTTATCAATGGAACAAACGTTACAATGAGTGATGAACACATGTGGCTGATACCATTCACTGAAGGACAGGATCATCTACTTACAATAGACTTGGGACACACCACCCCCCTGGTGGGGATTAGAGTTTGGAACTATAACAAGTCCACAGATGATTCTTTCAGAGGGGTAAGTGAAATATAATCCCAGGGGGTTTGGGGCTTAATATTAGGGCCCCGTCCACAGTAAGCCGGAGAAATTTTAAAACAGCATTTTCACGTTTTCATTCTGAAAACGAATCAAATATTTTCCGTCCACACTACGCCGAAGGAATTTGAAAAGGAAAACTTGGGTAGGAGAATCACATGATTATCGAAATGTCATCGTTTTCGAAAAGCTCTGTTTTCAAAATGTTTTCCTCCACAGTAAAACTCAAAGCCAGCTTTTTCAAACTCCTCCGGTTTGAAGAGCGTTTTCGAAAAGCTCCGTTTTCGTGACGGATTAGTGTGGACGGTAGGCCCAGCCGGAGAAATAAAGCTGCGTTTGCAAATTTCTCCGGCGTAGTGCATTTGGACGGGGCCTACAGTTACAGGCTTATTTCAAGACAGAAAATAGCGCTACCAAAAGAAAGATAGAGACGATCGTTCAATGTTTATTTCTGTTTAGGAACATGCTTCCACAAAAGGGTAAGCATGAACGATAAACGTTGTAGACGGGTAATTCTCAAACATAGTTTCCTCAAACTGATTGTTGCTCTCTACATAAAATGTCCTGACTTTCCATAATAAGAAGTATGGGTAGGAGATTAACAGGAAGAGGAGACTGTTAGAGAGAGGTTCTTTACAGAGCATTAAAAAGAATTCTAATTCAGTAGACATTTTGTGATGGCCACGTGTGGCAGATAAGACAAATCAAGTTTTCTGCGGTACTAAGTGATAATGACCTGTCTCGTGTTTAAACTGCAGTTTACTACATGAACTTATAATCGTGTGATCACAGCTGTATCATATAGTCAATAGATATCATTTCTATAACCAGGCCAAACAAGTTCACATCAAACTAGATGAGAGGGTTATATCACCGCCTGAAGGATTCCTGCTAAGAAAAGGTGACTGATTCCTATCTTGATTTACATGAAGTTCCCAGTGTAAGGAGGCAAGCTTTGTGTCAGACATTTTTCTGCTAGCTTCTGACCTAGTAGTACTTAGGCTTGTTCCTCAACATTACAGTGTAACAACTGGTCAAACCGGGTGCATGCTCTTTCCTTCAGTTGTTCCATGTTATTGTAGTATATGGGTTCGCCTTGTAAATTCCTTAGGCGTCCTCTTATCTGTCTGCAGTAAGCTTATGATGTATAAATTTTGTTTTAGGTCCAGGTAATGTTCATTTTGATTACGGGCAGGATGTGCACTTTATTAAACCGTCAAGACAGTATCCGTCACAGACTGGCATGGCCAGGGATGCAGAACGCAGGTTGGTCATCTTCCAAGTCTAGGATTAGCTCATACCGGATAGGCCAAGTCTAACAGGTAGTTCCTGCCAGTCTAGAACGATTTTCGGTGACTGATTTGCTATCCTTCCATTGTTCAACAGGTCTGAGAGTAGAATAAACTTGAAGAAGCTTATGCCAGACTACGAACCAACCCTAATGCCATGTGGCTGTATCCTTTACAGAACTTAGACTGATGCCTTAACTTTGAAGATAACTTTCCACTGGCAGTCATCCGTTCACGCTGTATGTACGGATATATAAACATACATTTTTCTGTGCGGTACTCATCCATGCTCCTAACATTATTTAGACGCGAAATCGCTCCCATTATAAACTAGTTTATGGGTAGAAGTTACAAGTTAACAACCTTTTGCGAATCATTTCCCCTTAACGTGTTTTCCAGTCGTGTTTCAGTTTCAGCTGTTCTCCACTTGGGGCGATCCATATTACATTGGAATGAATGGCTTGGAATTCTACGATGACAATGGCTACAGAATACGTTTGACAGAGAACAACATTACAGCTTATCCCCACAGTGTGAATGTGTTAGAAGGCGTGACAGATGATATCAGAACTCCAGACAAACTTATTGACGGTGTTAATGACACTAATGATGGCCGCCACATGTGGTTGGCTCCCATCTTGCCCGGAATGGTAAGTGTTTCACTTGAGCAAAATTATACCTGGTCGATAGGAAAGACGACAATATATTTTTCATTATCATCATTTTTCTGATCTGAAACTCGATAGAACGTATCGAGAGTTTTTCTATTTCTTTCAGAAAATACTACGAGGAAGAGAAAGGAAAATCTCTTGTTTATTTCGATTGTGAAAATGTAAATTCTCTTTGCTCATGTCATCTTTTCGTTAACAGCTCGTTCTAGTTCTGTGTTGCTATCGAGTTACAAAAGTACGGCTTGTAGCTTGCGCTTTCTTTCAGGGTGTGTACAAAATATTTTCTTTAGAGAATTTAAGATAGTTAACGATGACGAAGGAGGCGATAATGACGTACTACATTGCCTTTGTTTTCAGATTAATTTAATATACGTGGTGTTTGATGAGCCCGTGACAGTTTCCATGGTAAAAGTGTGGAATTACAGCAAAACGCCAATAAGAGGAGTTCAACAATTTGGGGTAAGACAAAAATAAGGTTAAAACCGATATTGATCGTACTCTAAAGAAATCATTTTAATTGATCGTGTGCGAATCTCTAAGCAAAGACATGGGGAATCCAACCGGAATATCTGTGGGGTATAGAAGCAAGTTTTGTCGCTCACAGACTGCATCACCAAGCCATTTTCCTTTCCTAGATTTACGCTATGTTTTTTTTAAATGTGGAGAGTAAAAAAAGGTGGAAACATTGCAGACACTCTATACATTATATCAATGGTGTTTAATGGTGTATATTGTCCGTTGTTTGGACAGCTGTTGGTAGATGACTTGCTGGTTTTTCATGGCATTCTGCCTCAAGTCCCAGCTGTTACCAGAGGAATTCTTCCTAACCTTGAGATGCCCACACCTCACCACACTATACTGTTCACTGACCACGAACAAATTGCTCTTGCTGAACGGAAGAATGTTATCAGGTAAGTGCAAAGAGACCAGTGTTAGCAAAATAGAACTGATAGCAAGATAAAAACAGACTCGCAGCTGTGTTAACAGGGTAGAATAACTTTGCTCTGAAGAAGCTAGGGTAAATGCGCGAAACGTTGTTTTCGTTTCATTTGACTCTTGCACTCTTCATGTCATAAGGGTTGTTTTCAGTGTAATGCAGCATACAAATTTGAATGTATGTAGAAGCATCAAGTCATTAGTTTTGCTTCGTGATTTTATTTTAGCAACAGAGGAGGTGAACAAGATATTCAGCTGACAAACGACAGGAGAGTTGTGTCTCATTACAATGATCCAAAGTCAGCGGGAAAACCCGCAGATCCTGGTAGGGATATTCTGTTGTAAAATAACAATGGTTTAACTTGGAATGTAGAATGACTGGACTGCTAAGACTTAACTTCAACAAAACATATGAAGGTAACTGTTGTTTTCTCATTGTATTTGCAGCTCTAAGACCAAGGACTAGCGTTCTGGCATTTCAAAAGAAAAGATAGTACTTTAGGACCTACTATCGCGGTCGTGATCGAAAGACACATAGCTGGGTTTGCTGTTCGTCATAAGATTTCAGCGGGGATGACAACGGGCTCGATTCTGGGATCATTTTGGCGGGAAACAGGAACAGAGCAGGAACATAGCGATACGGTTTACATCACAAATCGAAACTTTGGAAGATGTAAACGATGCAGTTAAAACATGTTTGAAAGTTTTCGTCAAACCGTTATTGCAGCAATTCAGTAACTGCTGCATTTTGTTTGGAAGGCCATCTCAAATGCAAGCTTAAGTGTTCAGAAACAATCCCAGAAAACCTAGCGGGCTAGGGTTCTCGAACCTTCTTTAGTGAAGGAAGTATCAATTCGTGACATTAATGTAGCGAAAAGTAATTATTTTCATAACACACATGCCACCGCAACTAAGGTGTCTTAAGAGAGTCATCGTGTTCAGTCTTACAAGTTGTATGCTGATACCGTGAACAGGTTAATAGTCTATTTACTTAGAAGTGGGAACGTTGGATCGGTTCAGTCTCTGCAGGAGTATCTCTCAAAAAGAAATAGTTGAGTGTTTGAAATAAGTTATTGCTGTATGTTTAATAAATTATATACATTCATAATGCACATATTATCAGCTGAAAAGAACTGAATGATCGGCTACAGAATTAAATTATGCCGTTTGTACTTTAAAAGTAATGTCACTTTCTTAGTGAACCAGAAGTATATCAGATAATTTGATGCCGCAAATGCAACTTGACATAGGTTAATGACTAACTATGATTCAGTTGCAAATGTAAATCACACGTTCATGTTGGTTTTAATAATTCATTAAAATAACTTTTTATGTATCTGTGACTGTCCGTGACTTCAATATTCTATGTTGTAAAGTAACATGTAATGTAACTGAAGTGCCGTGCTCCTCCCCTCCCCTTGTAGGTTTTTTCCAGTCATACCCAGGCGTTCCCTTTCCACTTACGAGTTGCATTTTTTGTTTTTTGCAAATGGTGTCCTCCAAAATCCATGAAAGTCGAGGCTGTATACCACATGACCCTGAACGCTCCCCTCTCCCTGACTGTATTTTTTTTTTTCAGAGGTATTACTGGACAGAAATGAAAAATGATTGCAATTGTTTTTTCTGAAATTTCCAGAATTCGGGTATAAAGGGTGCTAATTTACTCACCGGTGTGTCCTGAATGAAAATATCAGTAGCTAACGTTTCATAGCTTCTGTGTTAGGGGTTAGGACTTACGAATAAGGGCGTTGGTCTTTCAATCGTAAACGTGTAAATGAGCAAATGTGAAATGTCAGTTACATGAAAGGAAGACAGATTCATTCAGTGTGCACGGAACGTATAAATAACAGATCAGTTCAAACCGACAAGTTTTCTCCAACAAAAACGTGGCATGGCTACCTATTTTGTTTCTTATGACTTTAAGTTCAACACTTCGTATTTTTTTCGCTGTTTTCTCTTGACATCTTCAACTCATCTAGTCCAACATGACTTTAAAAATTCAATTACGTGACCTCTGAAAAATACATTTGTTTCCTAAATTTTGAAGCAACGACATGAAATAAACTGAAGTTAAATCTTTACTTCCCAAAGAGTGTTGCAGTGCTTGTTACCAACTCCACCACCAAAGGCAAAAATCTTATCACCTGTCCCAACCATAGAATGTCCAACAAGTTTAGGAACATTTCCACTGGGTGGTAACTTATACCACCTCATTCTGTCCGACTCTAAAATGAACGCATCATTTGTTACATTTTCTCGCACCCCACTCCATGTCTCTCCACCAAAAATAAACAAATGTTTACTGTCAAGTTCAACTGCCTTAGCATGCTGTCTGCCACAAGGTTCTTCGCAAACGGTGGACTTCTTAATCAACTCGGCTAGTCTCTGTTTGGGAAACGAGGATTCAGTTTCTTCAATTTTGTTCCAGGAACCAATTAATTCGTAACCCCCACTCTTTCGGCCTCCGAAGACAAACAAGTGATTCTCCTTGCTAGCTCTGATGGGAATTAAATTTGACGTGTGACCTGATCGAGAACTAGCATGATATGGGGCCTCAGTGTATTTTCCAGTTTCAAAGTTGAAATAAAAAGCACCAGCAAAGCGCCTCTGAGTGTGAACACCCCCTTCTCGCCCGATAATTAAAATATCTTTAGAAGAAACTAACGTTGCTGTATGTGAGCTTAAGCCAACGGGAACCTCCCCTGATTCCGGAATGTGGCGCCAAAATTGTTCAACAGTGTCGAAACAAAACACATCGGCGCATCTCTTTCGTCCATTCCAGCCACCTATGATCAGGATAAAACGACCCCGTATTACCGTCGCCGTATGATGACTGACACTGGGTGCTGTGCAAAGTCTTCCTTTAGGAAATACTGACGAAACTACAGGTTTGCTTTGCGAACCTCTAGGGACAGGACTTTCCATCGCACTCCAAGAATTTGAGGAGACATCGTATCGGTACATGTCACTTAAAACCGTTCTGTCATCTGTGATTCCGCCGAAAATATACAGTGAACCTTCTACAACAGAACAGGAATGAAATGCACGCTTGCTTGGGGCAGTTCCTTGAGCTAAAATTGCAGAAAATTCCATTATCTGCTCGAGGAAAAAGTCAACAACTTACAGTAATCCGTCCGCCATTGCAGTCCCAGAGTTCTTTGTGATCTAGTCTCTCGTTCCAGTCTTTTCTCAACTGTTGCTCGCTGCAGGCGATTTGGAAGTTTTATAAACAATTTAGCGTGAGCTCCGTTCTCCAACAGAGATGAAGCTTTATTTAGAGAAATAACAGCATGTACGTGGCAGAAGGAGAAAAAGTGCCAGATGATTGTATCCTTTGTGATCATATTTACTTTTTAGGCGTTTGCTTCGTTGCCTTAGCGTTAAAGAGTTTGACTCGTTACCAATGGCTACCGCCGCGGATCGCGGACTCCCGTCGAGAGATGTGAAATGCACAGCACCCGAAAAGAAGAAATGATCAATCATCTCTGATTTTGCATAAGAACTATATCGCTTATAGTTGCTTGTAGACGGCGATGTGTTCTGTCCCTGGGGTTGTGTCACGTTATTTTTTCCAAATGGAGTCGTCAAGTTTACTTCCCAAAACGGGCAATTTTGTCGATGTTTCGATGCTGTTCGTAAACTTCGTATTTTGATGAAATACACTCTAGCTTATTTGTACTTGTGGATGCAGACAGATTGATGTAAGTCTTCTCTTAAGTCGATCGGCCTCGATTACTGTGAACGAGAGNCTAACATTTTAAAAGAAGAATCCTGCTACAGGAGTCAGAGTACATAAGTATATGACTACAGGCAGAATAATGATAATAATAATAACAATAATGACGACGACGATGATGATGATGACGATGATGACAGCGACGACAACGATGATGACGACGACGATGTTATGGCAAATTATTATCTAGCTCAGTGGGCCCGATTTTTCTCTAATATTTCTGATGAAAAAAGAAAAGAAAAGCAGGTGAAGGAAAAAACAAGTATCAGTACTCTGTTAAGGCAAAACATTTTGGTTTTACCAGAGCTTTTTATTGTGATCTTGGTACTGACCAAAACAATTGCAGACTCCCAGAATTGACATTTGGACAATCATACAACTTTATTTGTGCCCATTACATGTTTATGTATAATATAATATTGAGTTGGGGGGAGAGGGGACCTCCCTTATAAAGGTAACACCAGAGCTTGTGTATTTTTGAGAGGGATTGTAAAGCATATGTTTGTTTATGCTTATGATCCGATCAAGAAAATGAATGTTGACAGTGCTAGACTTCTTTATTTGTTACTTTGCCATGTATACATGTAGCTTATTTTCTTTGACTCAAGTGATCAGTATATGAGCTGCAAGATTCTTTCCATCGTGGTGGAACTGTCAATGACATTACTGACCAGATCTGCAGTTTAAATGCAAACTTGCATAGCTATGACTCGCCAACTCAACTGGTTGTTGACAAATACATGAAAGAGCATGGCCTGGAAGTTGAGCCAGATGAAGAGGAATTTGGCTTTGGAAAACTTCTGATTGATTACAAGCCCCCGAAGAAGTCAACATCAAAAATAAGCAACAAGGGTTAGATTTCTGACTTTTGTGTGTTTGTGATGGGCACTCTATTTCAGGCCTTAATCTGACTGACATACAAGCTCACTCACTCAATCCTGTTCAACAGCCCTTGGGCACATTAAAGGCCATAAACACTTCTGAGTAGTTGGTTAAGGGAGTAAGTGCCTTTCCTTTCTCCCATCTTAGAGATCTGCAGTTTCTGTACAAAATATGCATACTGCACTAAAATTCNACTAAGTGAACATTATTATTTATTGACTTAAGTATATTGTGTCTATCCAATTGTTTCAATCTTATTTGTTGTCAATACTAAATTTGACTAAAACTCTTTTTTTTTTCTTCCAGAAAGCAGAGAAGAGTTCTAGTATGAAGCCAATGCTCGTAGAGGTACTGTGCAATGCACTACACTAGTGTGCAGAAGCCATTATCTTGCTTTAAATTTGGAGGAGTTAATTTGTAAATTGTCCAGTTAATACATGTCAGGTGTCAGTGAACTGCATCACAAACTGTACTCTGCATGCTCCTGAGTTTAAAGGTGATGTGCCTTACCATAGCCACCCAACAAACTTGTAATTGAAAGAAGTTACAAGTCAATCATGGGAATTTCTTTGACAAGTCTGCTTTTTTTCATATAGTGCTACCAACAACCGACTTTGTTCTTGCGTTCTCTAAAACATCCCATATTTTGGATATATTCAATTTGCTTTTGTTTCAACTTACTGTGGCATCTGAAAATTAAAAGTCTTTCCACTGCTAAACGTGCATTGTGTAATTCCAGAAAATATCCATACCTCCCCCATGGAAGGGACTTTTTGTAAGACCCGCCAACCCCTCTGGAAATTCCAATTACCGGTAAGCTTCATAAATTTCTTTCAATGTTTTGGTCTTACAGAATCCCCCACCCCTCAGGAAATTACAATCCCTTCCGTTAGGGGAGTATGGGACTCATGTTTGGGAACTGCACATTGCTATTAATAGCCAGTGAGGACTGATTTTACAGGTTCGCTACTCAATTTAGGGAGACAAATTTAATAAATTTTTGGGAACCTGTCTTCAATACAAATAATGCATTGTGATTCTAATGGTGCTGTCCAAAAGGATCATCCTGATGGCTTGTGGGATGATGTTATGAAAGAATTATGGAGATTTAACACATGTTAATTTAGCTTTGGAATTCAAGGGTTTCAATTTTCCTTTCAGTTGCATGTGTACCCAGGTTATGAGCCAGATGAAGTAACACCTCTTCCTAAACCATTTCTGGCCAGGGACATTCTGTCAACAGCCATAGGTGCTCAGCAGGATCTCAGGAAAAAAGTAAGAAATGTCTGCATCATGATTGAATTTCTAAGCCTTGTGCAATTTAATTTGTTTATAATCCTTTGTACTTTTTCTTATCTCTTTTAATTTAGGTCTCCTTCAAACATGAATTCCAGTCCTTTGTGTTTTCCAAGACATCTGAAGACATTCTACAGGTTTGGGTTATTTTTGTTTGCATGGATATTTGAGAACCTTTACATGTACCATAATGATTACAGCTGCTGACCAGTCACTGTCTGATAGCTCCTCCTCATTATACATCCTATCTTGTCCAGTTGATGTCCTTAACCCCTTCACACTATTGCCTAATTGTGGCTTAAGTCACATTCAGCTTGCATAATTTTCGTTACATCAACCTGAAAAAATAATCATAAGATTATAAATCTCACCCTAGTTCCAGCTGTTCTCTTTCTTCTTTCTTTGTGGCTTAACTTTAATTAAAATGAGATGAGATGAGAGAAGAACTGAAAGAAAAAACCCTCAGAGACAGGAGTAACAAACTCATAAAGTTTATAAAAGTATTTTTATATGTACTCTTGAAATATAGTGATTGAAAAATCATGAAAGTAAGTAACTTATACAATTTTAAAAGGACATGTCTGGATTGTAATTATTACAGTATACATGATTAATGTTCTCACTTCTTTTACAGGACTTATTTTGGTGGTACTTCCTGGAAAAATATCAGGTAAATGTTAATGGGTATAAATATTGTACCAACTGGCCAGATAACTGTGTCATTCATGAAAAAAAAACCAGGTCTGATTCATGCAGATCCACATATTATCAGACATTTGTTTTTCACAGTGGCAAAAAAGAATGCCTGATCACAGGTCTGTCTATCTTCCTGTCTGTCTGTTAGACAACCAGTAAGTCAGTCTTAAGATTGTTCATTTCCTCTGTTGACCAGTTGGTCTTTTAATTAATAAATAAAAGAATGAAGAAACAAATGCTTACAAAATCAATGATCTAGTCAATTGATCAATCAATCAAATCCAAGTCCTGATGGCCCACCTTCCAAGTCTTGCCCAACGTATAATCCATGTCCTTCAGCTCCTTTTCAACTGTTTCACTTCACGTGGTAGCTTGTGCTGTCCTAGATGTTTTATAAATGGTGCCCACATTCCACAAACCCAAGCGTATCTTTGCCTTGGGCCTCAGAAAACTCTTACTCACACTCATAGCATCTCTGTACTAGCAGAAGTGGTCATTCTGCCTGTTGGTTGGCTTGAGTTCTCAGCAAGGTCCATGCTTGTAGTTGCTGTAATTGCAGTATCTGTAAGAAAGGACTCTAACAGGGTGGGATAGGAAACACTATTCCCAACTCCCAACCTAGGATAAATAGCCTGTTATTGGCAAAATGTTAGTGAAAGGTTGCAGCACAGTTTGATGAGCATTAGACTTTTGAGTTGCACATTATGGGCATCTATCGACATCAGGGCTTGTTGACTCAAGCTCTGTTCTAATACAATGACATCCTCTTTGTGACAGCCCAGCAGAAACATACAAGAAATGCTGTTTAATCGCATTGCTCACAACTATGTGAAGATGTTGTTTACTGCCCCAGTGACAGAATACAGGGATAAGTTTCTTAAGGTATGGCTTGTATCAGCATTAAGACCTCAATGTTACTATACATTGTTCATTTTAATGAACAGCTGTTGACTTTGGTCTTTTTTTGTAGCCACATTCTATATCAGGTATAACTGTAAATGACCAAGTGACAAAATTATTTAATTTGTTTTGCTTTTCAGCGATACCCTGACCTGATGGCTCAAGCTGTGTACTGTACGTTTTGCACTGCATTTCCTACATCTTACAAGCAGTTTGGAGATGAATTCAAAGAGAATCTCATTCAAATAATTCATGAATGGATTGCTGGTAAGTTGTTTGTACATGTATTACCTACAGGTTGCATTTAAAAAAAACTTGTGAAAGAGTTCTGAAGAGCCTGCATCCTGAAGGGAGTGGGGCCTAAGGATAAAATATTTCCAGCTCCTCAACTTTTGAGTCTGCATTAAAATGCTTTATTATATGGCTGTGTCCCACAAGGACTGGGAACTACCGAATTCAGAAATTTGATTGGCTGAAATCAATATCGAAAGCGGTCTAGATTTTCCCATCTAGACCAGCATCTGGACCAGTTACATTTTGCAGTGAAAAAGTTGCAAACTAAAATACAAAAATATTGACTATTTTCTTCTAGCAATATTTATTTATGGAAGTCCCAAGAAGCCTGATGAGGGGAAAAATAGAGGACAAGCAAACTTTGGCAGAATTAAGTTCGGTTCATCGTCATTCACAAGCAAAATGTCAGCAAGTACAAACCAGTTACATTAAATGAATTAAATTGTTCTAGTTCTCTAGTGTCATTTAATAAACATCTTATTAACCGAGCTTAGTCGGTCTGTGTGGGAGAATCTTGACCTCGGTTATGTGTACAGACCGAACGCAGTGAGGTCTGTACTCACGACCTCGGTCAAGATTCTCCCATACAGACCTCCTGCTCTGTTAATAAGAGCTAAGTAATGCCTTAGGATGAGGCACAGGTAAAACTTTATTGTCCTCATAATATCTCTTGAATACAGGGTGCTGACATGATCTTCCAACACACCCCTCCCCCAAACCTTGCACATAAGTTACCTCTACCGGGAGCCATGTCATCAGGCCTTATCTCCCTCCCAGATCTCTGGTGGATAAAGCGAAAGACTTTAGAAGTCTGGGAACAAGATTACATCAGGCCTTTAATCCCCAAGTTTGATGAAGATCAACTTTCTCCTGACAGAATTAGTGCATGTCAAACAGTCAAACTTACATTAGATTTTAGCAAAGAGAGTGAGCTTCGGTACATGAGTATAATCGTGCTTACCTTGCTATTCTGATTTCCATCGCTTCAAGTATCCATACATGTTTTCATCTCAGCTACACAATGTTAGTAACTATAAATATCTGCTACGTTTAGGAACCAAACCTGTGCCAAGGATTTGGGACAAGTGGAACTTCAAAGCCCTGGAACCAAAAGATATGCGGAAAGATGAGCAAATTAAGCAAGATGCTTCTAAAGGTGATAACATGCTTGCACTTGCTTAAAACATCGACACGTTCAGTTGATGGTGAAATTTTCTTACCCAATTTCTCACCAATCAGTCGAAATCAGGGAAGTCGTTGGTTAGTTATGAGAGCTGTTTACTTAGGAGTAACATGTGGACCCAATAAAGTAGATTAATCACCTCGATAATCAGAATCGGTTTGGTGAACCTCCAATTCACTTTAATCTTAGAATCAGGTTAGAGGTAGGTTGTGAAGAAATGTGAGCTGTTCAGATCCAAACTTAAGGGGTGCTTTAGGGAGCAGGAGGGCGATCAACAATTTTTTTCCACCATATCATGAAGCCACTGTAGAGCAGATTCAACTTTATGATTATCATAAAAATTCTCAGAACTTGCATAAATTGACTGTATGGAAATGAGTGAGGAGAATTGAGGTGTCGATCGTGGGAGTAACATTTCTCTCTCTCCTTTTAGGCTCGTTAGTATCCCTTCCGGCGGAACTTAGTGAAGAGAATTTATCAAAACAGAGTAGCCTTTATTCTGTTGGTAACAAGCTGAGCCAGAAGTCCATACCTCAGATAGTAGAAGAAAAGGTTCCAAACAGCAGTAGCTTCCTTGCTCCGCAGGGTCGCGACACCAGAAGAAAGTCAATTGCGACCAGAAAGGCGTCACACAACAGTGCCGTGACGAACACCGAAGAACTGCGTGATAATGTGGATCGCTTGGCTCCGTATAACGCGAATGAGGAGAAAGCGTCTGCAACATCAACATCTTTGAGTCGTTTGCAGCCGAAATTGTCTTCGTTTTCCGCGTTTGCTGGGGTACAGAAGTCAAATCGCGCAGAGAAACGCCGCGAGGTATGTTCTTTACTTATCGTTGGTTACATACATGTAAATCTACGTTCTAGAAAAAGAAAATAGTTATTTAACTTGCTTCTTCTTCTCTGCCTTACGTGTAGTTAATGAACTTATCCTCCTGTAATATTTTACAAGCAATCGTGCGCAATGTGGCGTCTTCACGTACATCTGACACATGTTTCGCACGTGTAATGCTGCAGTCCCTGTGGCTTGTACTGTATCATTGTATCTCTATACCTTTTTACAGTCATGTCCAGTAGGCAGAGGTCCAGAGTTCAGTCGCTGTGTGTTTGATGTTTATGGACACAGCCCGCTAGTGGAACAGTTTCTTCGGATGCAGAAATTATCAAAAGATTCAGGAACATCAGTGTTGATTCAGAGAACGGAAATCAAGTCACTGCCACCATATCCTTGAAAACGCCTTTCTCTACTCTTTATTTGCTTTAGTTCCAGTGGCTTACTGATGGCCGGATATTTTTAAGGGGGGGGGGGGG